AACCCACCAACTGATTAACATTATATACTGTATGATAAAAACCCACAAAACTGACTTACATGTAATACACTGTAAGATAAGACCCAAAAGATGGACTGATATATTACATACTGTGAGATATAACCCACCAACTGATTAACATTATATACTGTATGATAAAAACCCACAAAACTGACTGGCATGTAATACACTGTAAAATAAGACCCAACAGATGGACTGATATGTGATATACTGTAAGATAACACTTAGCAGTCTGAAGAATGAGGTTCAATGTCTGATAAATACACTCTTCTATATTATGACATAAAACCAACCAGTCTAAGTGACATGTTATATACTGTGATATAAAACCCACCATATTACATGCAGGGACATAAAACTCACCAGTTTGAATGGCATGTCACATGCAGGGACATAAAACACACCAGTATGAAAAACATGTATTTTCTAGTTTATCAGTCTAACAGAGGTAGCACAGTATTCTGGGACATAGAACTTTGTATCTGACAGATACATAAACACTGTTTCGTGTCTCGAAGCCTACCTGTGAAATAGGCAATGTATTAAAAAGCTGCTACCTTATCTATTTGACAAATACGATACAGTATATTGTAACATAAATATCTAAACGACAGATATGATTTCTGTTCTGAGACTTACCTTATAACACCATGACTAATTAACATAGTACTTTGCTGCAAAACCTACCTGTCTAATAGACATAGTACACAATATGTATAAGAAGATAAAAGAACAGTCTGTGTAGTCTTCTCCTGGCAGATTTCTATGAGACAGACCTTGTATCCAGGAAATTGGAACAAATGGTAACTTTGCCACAACTCTGCCATCAAATCTTGGGAATACAGGCAGAAGATTTAAAATAAATATGTTTTAATTACGATATAATTAACTAAGTATGATACAGAACTGTGAAAATAAGTTGTACAATTATAAATGGTAGATAAAGAAAACTTAAATCTTATTATCAAATGTTTCTAGGAAAGAAATCCTTTGTTGATGCACTCTTCCCACTTCACATTAAGAGTGGCAGATTTTTAGCGCACACCAAAAAATGAAAAGTTAACCACGGGAAACAGAAGTTGTTCAGAATTCTTATATACAAAACTACTTAAACACTATTCTTTGAGGGATAATTAATAATATTATCAAACCAAACAAAGTAAAAATGCAATATATGTATCTCTTCTAAACTCTTTTGTGGTTAGGGCTAACAAGAAACATGGCTTTAAGCATAACATCAGTAAATGCAGTTGAACTTGCAAACAACACTTGGTTTTGCATGTCCTGGGCCTGTATCATCCTTTTATGTGAATAAAAAATACTGATGCACAGGACTCTGCAAAACAACACTCTGTCATAAAATGGTTTAATCTATTACGAATTACAATGAAAAAAAATAATAGTAAAATGTAAACTACATATAAAAAACAACACAATAATTCAGTAATAAGAATTAATATTGACTTCTGACCTAAGCAGGCTAATTAACTTGACCTGTATCAATCTAGTAATTAGTATAGTTAATTAAATATACAACTTCTATGTTCTTACTTCAAGATTTCAAGCACCTTTTGGAAAATATTTAGTAAAAATTTTAAAGCATATTTTGAATTATCTTAAGGGTAACTTTAGGAATTTTTGGAATATTTTGTCTGTATAAATATGATAATTTTGTGTCAGATCACACAAAGACTAAGTTTTTTGCCACCATACATTCCACTGGCAGCATGAGAGTTAATTATAACCAAGTAGAAACTCCACATTGTATTTATTTGCAAATAATAAAAGTAAATGAAATCTGTCACATGTACTCACATAGAGTTGAAAGTGCTCAATAAAGCAGTGAAAGCAAATCCAATGGCAAACATAGATTTCATCTTCACCTATACACAATGTAAAGTTTAGTTTTGTAACAAGAAACATAGATTAAGATCTTGTATGAACAAATGATATCACAACTGTACAAAATAAATATGTTGACAGCTGCAGTCTAACTTTTATGGAGAAACTGTACTTTTAAACATAACTTGCTAAAATTCATGATTAACCTGTAAAAGGACAACTTTTGTGTCAAATCAACAATGTATCTACAATAGAGGGTATGCCCACAAAACAACAAAAGCCATTAACTGACAAAATCATACATTATTATACCTATATTAGACTGTGAATCAATATACAGTCATGTGATCTCTGTTCTATACTACATATATATATACTCTTGTATCTCTGTAAACTACTTCTACCTGAGAATGACAAAATCTTCTCGAAACTTCGTACATTTATAATAAAGTTTTTCCATTACCCAGTCAAGCCATCTCAAAACTTTTATTATCACACACAGATCCCTATCTCTTAACTTTTATCATTATATAATGATAAAAGTTACAAGATAGGGATGATGTATAATGATTAAAGTTAGGAGTTAGGGATGATGTACAATGATTAAAGTTAGGAGATAGGGATGCATGTATGATAATAATAGTTAGGAGATAGGAATGATATATAATGATAAAAGTTAGGAGATAGGGATGATGTATGATAAAAGTTACGAGATAGGGATGATCTATAATGATAAAAGTTAGGAGATAGGGATGACTTGATAATAATAGTTAGGAGATAGGGATGATGTATGATAATAATAATTAGGAGATAGGGATGATGTATAATGATTAAAGTTAGGAGTTAGGGATGATGTACAATGATTAAAGTTAGGAGATAGGGATGCATGTATGATAATAATAGTTAGGAGATAGGGATGAATACATCATCCCTATCTCCTAACTATTATTATCATACATCATATTTATCTTATAACTTTTATCATACATCATCCCTATCTCCTAACTATTATTATCATACATCGTCCTTATCTTATAACTTTTATTATCATACACCATCCCTATATCCTCATTCAAAAGAGTAATTATGTATTACAAAAATATCATTATACAAGTACATGAACTAAACATTTCATTTAATTTGTTCCACCTTGCTATCTTCATAGGGTAAAAATAAAAATCAGATTTCATGTTGTATAATATTCCTTTCAGACCAGCCTTAAAAGATTTTATTGATTTTCCTATTTGATGAAGATACGATTTTTTTTATTTTCTTTAAATGTGAAACTGAGTTTCTGAATTCTCACAGCTGAATAAATTACAAATTTGCATTAAACTAAATCCAACAGATGTAATTCAGTTATGGTATTGGCCTAACATACATGCATATAAAAAATGAGTACAACTAGATATACTTTATAACTTCAACAGTCTCAATCAACACAACATTCAAATTAAGAAGAAGATTATACATATTTTTTTCTCTGCTGCCCATAGTACAGAAATTATATTGCATACACAATGAAAATAATTATTAACATTAAAACATCACCAATACCTTTACTCTCAGACTGATTTAATTGGCCTAGTTATTAATCAGCTTTATTACATACAACAACATTTGATGTGTACGACTAGTAAAGCTAAATTATAAGGTTCTAAAGATATAACCAACAATGTAAGGTAAATCATTAGCCTAAAACAGTATGAAAAGCTTTTAATACATTTTATAAATACAAGTAATGTTCAGTTTGGTGATAATATTTCTGGATAAAACAAAAAACAACATGTTTGTAACAAGTTAGGCTGAAACTGTGGCCTTTTTTTTTAATTTTTGAACAAGGACCGATTTCTTTCTTGTTACTATACAAAACTTTTTTAAACAAACTATTTTCTAAACTGCTTTCAATAAGTTTGATAAGAGTCAATGTACATTTCAATTTATTTAACACATTTCTGTAATTTAATGATACAGCAAATGTTCACAAATGGGTTGTTAGTCATTGGTAAGCTTTGATTCATTTATCAGTAAATCTTATAATAACCATAAAATGTCTGTGAAAAAAGTTATAAACAAATGAGTGTCATAATTTTTGCTGAACCTACCATGTGTAATTGTAAATTGAACATAGTTTTTAAAAATTGCTTGGTACTGTCTTACAATATTTTATCAGATTTAATGTTAGATCTAGTAATACTTAGAAATCTTTAATTTCAGTGTATCAGTTTGGATTACTTGAAAGTTTTGGAATTTAGCAAATTCCTTTATATGACTTTAAAAAAAGGTCTCTATTGTTGTTTTTAAGTTTTTCTTCTTCTCTCTCTGAAAAGAAAATACTTAGGAGTAATTGACACAAAAAATGTATCAACATCACAGAAATCAGTGCTTGTATCTTCTCAAATATCATGTATAGCCTAATCATATTGCTAAAATATACTGGTTTATTTCTTGTATGTGGATATCATACTGCAGTCTAATTTCACTGCTACACTCATATAGAATGAATATCCAGTTTGTTTTTTTATCATTCTACAGCTACTTATATACACTAATAATAATAATGTAATACATAAAATGAAGGAAAGTTTACTATGACCAGGACTGCAATTGGAACACAAAGGTTTTGTATAACCTTTTCAGAGGTTAAAACTGAACCCTATTCCCGACACTACAGGCACCATAAATAATAAATCTTAAACAGATTTGATTTTTTCTCCAAAACTGGAATACTATTATCAGATATTATGTTCTGGCCATTACAATAAAAGAATCAATCTTACAATTTTAAGGTCTAGTGAGCACTATTTAATTACTAATATAAATTTTCACACATATATGTCAATAAATAAGTACTGATTCCACATATTTAACTTAACAAGATTTTCTAAATACGAAGACTTCAAAAACCCATTTCTTAAATTCTGGATAAATAAACCTGTGGCAATATTCTGAGCAAATACTTAACAAGCTGAAACAAAACAAAACACATAACAAATTATTTCTTAATCGGAATTCCACAGTATGTTTCCATACAGTTATCAGTTTATCCTCTACATGTATCCAAGAAAACCCAATACAACTTAACCTCTTTTTCAGCCACCAACCTTCTTGGGTCAACCATGATTAATCAAAGTCAAACCAAGATACTTAAACCTTTACAAGTAGTTCAAATTTACAACTGTATCTTGAAAACAAAGCATAATATGCAGTAATACTAGTGAAAAATTTTAATTTCTTTGCTAACTGATGATTATTTAGCTTAAGCTTTGTATAATGTCTTTCATTTATTTTTAAACTTCAAATATTTAAAAACAGAGTTTACAAAGGGTAAAATTCATTGACTATGATATATAAACTGGTTTACATTACCTTCAAAAGCAAAACTGTGAAAAAAAAGATAAAGATTTTATAAACAAAATTTACTAGCATTTTGATTTCTTTGTTAGTATCAGTACAGTAGTTCATATTTCATGGTTCATACAGCCACTGTAAAAATATTCTTAACCCTGCATTAGTCTTTTGGGGTCTTCAAGGACCCCAAGTATTTTGTAAACATCAGCACCGACAGATAGAAGCACATACATGTTTCTTGTTCTCAGTACCTTCAGTATTTGGCTAGTTTGTGTTAAATTGTTACACTTAGTTTAGGTGGTAAAAAAGAAACAAGTTGTAATATTCAATTTTCATTTATTGATTAATAAAGGAAAAGATTTTGAGTGTTAGTGATTTTGTTTTGAAAATAATACCTTATTATTATTTAAAATTTTTAAATTAATTTTTAAGATGGAGTCCACTCGACCCTCAAAAGAGTGACTATGGAAAATTTTTACAGAAGACAAACACAGGGTTAAAACATTTTTGAGACAATAAATGACAGAAATCAAGATTTGTTTCACACAAAAAATCTTAAAAACAATACCCCCCCCACACACACACATACATAATAGACATCCTTAACAACATTTATATTCACAGTAATAACATTTAGTAATTCACATCCATTGAAGTTACAGAAATTCTAAACACATGTTTATAAATAACAGATTATTTCTGTTTTAGTTGTTCTAATTTATCACCTAGGCTTCTCTTCATTTCATTAATGAGAAGTCACAGTACATTTTAACAAGCCATTAACTTTCATATTCTCATAAAACTTGTGCATTTTACTATTTGAATAAGACTTAATAACTGCTTTGCCCATCTTAGAAACATCAAAAGTTTAATCACACACGATGTAACAAGCCTTTGCATTATTTCTATTTATTCCTTTTATCTTACGTTTATATTCAGGTTTTTGCCCCACAGTTTTCTCAATACAGGCAGTGACCTTTAATGATGTAAATTTATGTGAGAATTAGAGTGGGTGGTGTAAGATGCAAACTTCTACTTACTCAAAGAAAATCCTAGGTTTATTTCATAAAAAAGAATGTGATT